CCAGAAAATAACTCTTTGCTCCCCCTGCCCATAACAAGTTTTCTGTATTGCCTGTTTGTCCATCAAAACTCACTTAAATATTATATCTCCCCAGAAATAAGACCTAGCTAGAGATCAAAAATGCCAACCCCAAACAGCCTTTCCTGCCCTTACCTCAGAGCAGTCAATGAGCAAGAGAATAGGGAGGTATAATCTTCTACATGACACTGGCCATCACCATGGTAATGAACCGCTATTAATTACAGCTGAAGTTTATTTTCTAGTTAAGTCTTATTTTGGGGGAAACATGGTAGTAGCATTTTTATCAAGTTCTCCCTGCTCCTTCTGTTGTTCTACCATTCTGTACTACCATTCTGCACTGATATTTGCAATAGTTCAAATTGTGCATACTGTGTTTTCTTAACATGCCAATAGACAGGAGATGTCTTGAGATCATGGCTGTTAATTATCCCATATCTGGAGTGCCTTCTATACTTACTGAAACATAAAACTAATCATTAATTTTGTTGGCCAAAATAAGCAAGTAACATTTGTTACTTACCCACCTCTATCGGTTAAAACAATATATAGTTTTTAAAGATTCACTAGTGTAAGGTAGAATCAGTTATCTGTTTTGTTTCAGCTTTGTTCAAGAACCAGAGAAGAGTTTTTTTTTAATATCATGAAACTGGAGATTAGTAACATTCCAAGGAGATACAAATAATTTTTTAAACATAGAGCACAAAGCCCCTAGAGGAAGAATTGAAAATAAATCTGCTATATGTAAAGATGTCCAATCAGAAATCTAAGACAAATTTGGCTAAATTTCTTGGCAAGTATGCAAAGCACAATGAGTAGTTGAAACTGTAGGGAATGAAAGAAAAAAAATCTGCAAGACCACTTGAACCACTTTTAAAAATTGAAAATAATCTGATCTACATATCCTAGTCTTTTTTTTTGTCTAGTGCTTGTTTCTGTGATATCAAAATATCTGCCTTATGTTGATCTATCGTGGAAACAAAATGAAAGAAAGTTATAGAATTTTACCTTATTTAGGAGAAACGGTAAACATTATAACTCATTCCAAACCTTTCCTAAAGTTAACATATTTCATCCTAAAATTACTCTAAGTCTAAAATAGATATTGTTAGGTGTTACTTCACATAATAGCTGAGGTTGAATAATGTCAATGGAAAACTTACTTTTTAAAAAGAAACAAAAATTCTTGAATTCATATCTGATATACTAAAGATGGTGTCTACTTCTGTAATATTCTTATAACGAAATTCTTCTTTACTTATTAGCACATTCATTTGGATTTGTGCATAAATTTTATCATCTTCTTAGACAGTTTTGGAATAAGTAATATGAGATCATTTTCATTTAAATTTGCTTTGGGCTCAGAGAAAATGGAAGACCATGATTCCCTATCACTTTTCTTGGCATACTTTCTCCCCTCTCTTTGTCCCTTAACCCAGGTCAACTTACTCTACTAGCACTCTTCATCCTTCTGCACTTCCATACTTAGGGCAAAAGAGAAAAGAAAACTAAGAAAGCAGAAAATAAAAATAGAAATGAGAGCACATGAAGTGAAAGAGCAAATCAGAGAAAAATGAGAAACTATTATCTTGTTTCTCTTATCAGAGGTATGGGCTTAAAGCTTTAATTGAGATCCTGGGGAAGTAGTTAAAACTAGAGAGACAAGTAATAGAATATCCTTAGACAGTATAGCTGCTGTCATTTGGATGTAATTTGTCCCCTGAGGTTTCATGCATGGGAAGTCTGGTTCCCGGTGTGATGCTGTGGCAGGTGACAGAACCTCCAAGTGGTGTGAGGGAATGGAAGGCACTTACTTCCCTTGGAAGGGATTTAGGTAGTTCTTGAAGATACTGAGTCTCACAAGAGCGAGTTGTTATAAGAATGAGCCGAGCCCTGAATGAGTCTCTGCCTTCCTGTTCTGAGATGTCATTTCTTCCTTCCATCCACATTCCTACCATGATGACACCATTTGCCATTAGCCCTCACCAGTGGCCAAACCAACAGGTCAACCTGATCATGCCTTTAAGCCTCCATGTGAGACAAGAACGCCTCTTCAAAAGTTACCCTGCCTCTGGTTCTTCATATAGCAATGAAAATGGACTAATTTAGTGACAGCAAAGTTTTCAGAGACAGGTATAAACATATAGTGGTAACTTCCTGAGTAAACTTTAACCATTAAAATAATTGTGGTTCTATTATTGCCAAACATTACAAAAACAAAATTAGGTTAATGGGTCTACTGCCTCCTCAAACCCCTTGCTCTACTTGCCTTCTTTCACCCATATTTCCGACATCCCTCCTGTCCCAACCTCCAGTGCCAAAATTAAACTTGAATAACCTCAGGGTGGTGGGAGGAAAAGCACATTGTAAGCATCTCCCATGGATTATGTGATTCTCTCAGAAGGCCAATGCTTCACAATCCCAAAACACTAGTGTATGCTTATATTTTTGGAATGTTCTTTAAAGCATAGTTTCATAAGCAAAGGGTAGAAAATATCAAAGTGAACAAATTTAAATGTATTGGCTTATTGTATAATAAAATGTTGAGTCTAATAAAAGTAAGGTGTTTTAATAATTTATTATGCACCTGTAACTATCCTAAGTGTTTTATATAAAGTGTCTTACTTAATCTGTACAACTTTCAAGAAGGTGTATATTATTCTCCTGTCTATAGCTAAGGAAACTAAGGGTGGGATTTTCTTAAATAATTATTTTGATAAGTTACAGAGTTTGCCTAGTTTAGGGTGGGACAGATTTTTCAACTAGGACTATTTAGCTCCAAAGCCAAGCTGTACATATTAACCAGTTTGATGCAGAGTCTTCCTGCAGGATTTTATCAGAGCACTTTTTGTCAGCTAATGTGATTGTGAATCTCCAAGAGGGAGATGTAATATACTGAATTCCACATTAACTTGGTTATCAAACCCTCTCCCTTACAGAGTCTTGAACACATACATAACATTAATCTTGTTCTCTTGAGAAAAAGTAGAATTTCCCTTTTTTCTATTACCCCTCCTTCTTTGTTCTACTTCTTTTTAGCAAGAATCCTATAATGACACATTTTGTACTCCTTTACAACTGACTTCCCAATCAGAAGAAGCCCTCTCATACTCTCAGGTTCCATTCACATATTTTAATATTTTAGTCCTAAGATGTGCTGTGCCTCTGAATCCTTCTTGGAATGACAGAAGCTTCTCATGAAGTTTTCATTATTTTTCCATGGCTAGAGGACCCAGGAGAAGCCAGAGACTTCATCTTTTCTCATTAGTTAACTTTTCTTGTACTATGTTGAGTCTTCTAAGGAGACAGATGCTGTCTTTTAGTACATTTCAAGCACACAAGGGTAATAACAGCCATGAGCTCTAAGGTCCTTCCCCACACTATGTTCATATTTAAAATTCAATCTTCATGGATTCTACCCTAAATACATTTCATTCTGAGTACATACTTAGTGCAACCATATTTAGTTTTGTTTTAATTGGCCAGCTCTCCTCATACCAAAAGAAACCAGGAGAAAGATTTCCAGTAGCTGATTGTGACAGTGTTAAAGTCTCAAAGTGGAAGTTCTACTGAAATTTGTTATCCCCATTCCTCTTATTTCCTACATTTTATTGAAACATGACACATATGGGTATTCATATACTTCTAACATAAAACTTAGAGCAAGGATGTAAAATATGTTTTCTACATTTGTTAGTCCTTTAAACTCTATCTTTCAAAAATTCATGAATGGAAAAACTGACTAGATAGGAACATAATAGGGTTCTTTTCCTTTTATCCCACTACCCAAGTGCCTCTTAAAATAGATCTTTATGAAGGCCTAATTGGTAATGCACATGCAAATGCATAGTTAGTTGCCCAATCGCCCAAACAACTGGGTCGCAATGGGTGTAGATGTACTTTTCTTAGGATTTCTGCTGGCAAATAGCTTCAGTTATTTAGCCCATAGAAAACAAGCCCTGTTTTGCTTAATGTTTTAGGTTAGGGAGTGGCTGGCAGCATTCTGTGAAAAAGTGACACTTTCAACACTGTAAATGATTTGCTGACTTTATTTAACAATATCTAAACCATTTTAACCAACAGTATCATATAGCTTGGCACATTATACCACTACAGATCTTCCGGAAAGGATGAAATGGCCAAATATTTACATGCATTCCGTTTTCTTTACATATTTGTATTTCTACCATTTTGAAAATTAGAATATAAACATTCTGTTTAAAAATCTGTTCTCCCCCACATACTACATATTCAAAGAGCAAACACACTTTTTTCCCTTTGGTATATATATATATATATATATATATATATATATATATGTAGGTGTATCTGGGTTTCCATACTTTATATATCTTTGTCTACCTAATAGCCCCAACCCTTTGTTTTATGATGTGGAGAAAAACTATAAAATCTCCTGCCCCTGTAATTACATTGCCCTTTGCCGTCTCTGGGAAAAAAAAGGGGGGAAAAAAGGTGGTGTTCAAATTTTCCCCCTGTTTTATTTGCACCCTATTAACAACTGTTACTGGAGCTTTAATTATGCCCCAGTGATTGTGGAGTTGTGGTTGACTTGTGTCATTTTCCTCCCAGGGGATGCTTTATAATTACCAGCATCCATCGTGGCTGCCTGTAAGCTGATGCTTTTTTATTACCAGTTCAATAATCACTGCATCCTTGTGAACATCTGCTCTGCAAGCCATGCATCGGGGGTCCCAGCGCCTGTCACTTGATGTTCCCTCACCACAGTGACCTTGGTGCCCTCGCCTTCGGTTTATATCTAATTTGTTTACCAGAGGCTCCATCCAGAAAGTCTCCCAGGAATGCAATTAATATACTACATTTGCAAACAAAAGAAAATTTTGCCCTTTCTCTCTTTTGTCTTTTTCCAGATTATTGTCTTACTTTTATATTCCAATTTCTATTCCTGAAGAACAAATCCACTTAAGACTTGTGGAAACAAGGAAAATGAGAGAAGTGTTTACCTGGGAGCTATCCTGCTTCTATTGAAAGTAGATGGATGTTTCAGTGATATGTTTTTTCTAAAAAATATAAGATGAGGAATATTGTGTTATAGAATGATATTTTACACTGAATACTTCATGTGAAGAAAAGGACAATTCACTTGCTCTCATTCTGATTTTACTTCTTTCTTTACCTGCTGTCTTGTTTTCTTTCTTGTCCTCAATAAACTCTGCTCTTGATTTTCTAGAATAATTTCTTCTTCTTCTGCAATCACTGTCCTTCAGACTTTTTGGTCTCCTTCTTCTATGTTCCCCTTCTTTCTTGCCTCTACTTTATCAAAACAATTTAGATGAAAGAAAAACTCAATAAATAGAACACATCTTGGGCTTAGCTACTGGTCCTCTGGACACTGCCTCTCCCTTCTGACTCTCTATTTATTACTAATAAAGCTAAGCTGAGCACAGCTTGCTGATCCTGGTTGGTTCTGATATTTTAAATTAAAAAATAAAATTTCAACCTTTCAATTTTCAGAATTTCAAATTTCAGAATTTCAGAAGCTGTGCTGATATATTTAGAGCAGATGAGAAAAAATAACCAAACTCATGAAATCATTTGACACACGCAGTGTTTCCCTTTCACGTTCATAAGTAAGGGACTTCACAGACCAGTTTACCAATGTCCTACACAGTGCATGTATGTGTTGACCATAGTAATTCCTAAAATCTCAAAATTAAAATAGCATAGATGAAACTTGCAGCCAAGTCTAGGAGAATGTTGTCTGTCTATCTGTCTCTGTCATCGATTTAAGAGACCATGGAGGAGGGAGCTCTACCTTGTTCTCTGTACCAGAAGACCTAGTGTTCTTCTTGGTTCATAGGAGTGACTGGATTTTTCTGCTTGTGGATTAAATACTATTTTAAAGTCATTAACATAATATAGCACTTAGTCCCAACCTGGAATGAAAAATACACACACACATGGGCACACACACACAGGCACATACACATATGGATGAGCACACAATTGAAGAATAGTACAGAAAATCTTGAAAGTACTCACAAGCCATCATTCAAATCCAGGCTTTGAGGCACCCTTTAAAGAGCTTAGCTGAACTTCTATAGATAGGGAGATAGGGAGGCACGAAACCAAAACACAGCCCACTGCTTAGGAACAAGTACATAGTAGGACTCTCTTCTTCCCTTTCCTCCTCATATTACTAAATCCCCACTCAAAAAAAAAAAGAAAAAGAGTCTGAATAATACTGCTATTGACTGCAGTCAAGGACTATGTTTTGCAAGGAGTGTGAGACAGCAGCCTTGCAGTCTAAACCTGGCCCAACTCACCAATTGGCTAGGAGTCCAAATCTGAGAAACAGTTAACACAGCTGTGAAATATCAGCTCTGAATATCTTGCTGGTGTAAGACCTGAGTTTGACTTTTAAGTCCTAGGAAATAAAGTGAAAACAACCATAAGATAAGTAGGCCATGAGAGAAGAGAGTAGGGGGAAAGGGGAGGAATGGAAGGAGGGAGCAAATGTGGGAAGATGGAAGGGAAGGAAAGCAGGAGGAAAGGAAGGAGAGAGGAAGGCAGGCAGGCAGGCTATAGCACAAAATATCGGTAGTTGGAAAGTTAATTCACTACACACAGAATAAAAATAGTAGTACAATCTGGGAATTGCTTTTTTTTTTTAAAGATTATGGTTAGGGTTCAAAGAGGAATATTTTTCTTAAAAAACTTTTTTTAAAAGAAATCATAAGAAAATAAAATTAAAGTTAAGTAGATATGAAAAACAACCAATTAGGAATCCCGCAAAAAAATATATAAATTTTATACCTCACAAATTAAAATTTAAACTGAATATATTTGAGTAGAAAATGGGTAAGTGGGAAGAAAATACTACTGAGGAATTATCTCAGAATGCAGCACCAAGAGATAACGTATACAAAATAGTAACTACGACACTAGGAAATTAACTTGCAAAAATCTGATATACATTTAATAAAAACTCCAGCATGAGAAATTGATGGAATGGCAGAGAGTGAAATTTAAAATGGTAAATCTTGGAAATGTTTCAGGATTGAAGAAAGACAAGTATCATACAAATAAAAATGTCCAAGAAGAATACCCTAAAATACCATATTTATCAAAAATAACATTATTTTGAAGACTTTCAATAGAAAAACCATGGACAATAAATGTGAAATTACTTACATCATCTTTCTAGCTCATCACTGAAAATATTTATGTCTGTTCACTTTTATTTTTTCCTTTTTGGGGGGTTAGGGGGAGGTTTGGGACAAAGTCAGTCGATGTAGCTCAGGCTGGCCTTGAACTCACTGTGCAGTCCAGGCTGGCCTCGAAGTCATGGCGATCCTCCTTTCTCGGCCTCCCAAGTGCTGGCACTACAGGTGCACACCACACTCCCGGCAATTTTTTTCCCTTTTTAAATATTTTTTCTCCTAATTTAATGTTTTTGTTAAATTGCATTTACTTTTGTTAATGTGCTACTTTTTGAAGATAGCATGAAAAGCAATTTTAAAATGGAGACCCACTTTAACTAATTGTTCCAATTTTAAGTATATTTAGCATAAATCTTTCTTAATGTCACAAAGTTTAAATCCAAGAGATTCTATAACACAAACTGTCATTTAAGTCAACAAAACATAAGGAAAAGCAAGTCTTCACAACCCCGGTCTATAATGGACAACAGGATAGAACACCAGACACTCTGTAGTACTAAATAACAATGATAGGTTATTTACTAAAGCTAAGAAGTTCCCAATGAAAATGAAGTTATTCTTCATCAAATTATTAGAGCGAGGAGACTAGCCAGAAAGAGATGATTTTTATATTTATTTTGAAAAACTAGAACCATAAAACTCAGCTAATACAAGTAATAAAATACAAATCACATACTTGAGTCAAAGGAAATCATAAATTATAGAAAGTGATTAGTCCTTCAGAAATCATCATCCCATTTCAATTTGTTTGTAGATTTCACCTGATGTCCTTCCCTCTGCATGAAGACAGAAGCAGCAGCATAAGGTCAGCCTTTGCCCCAGGGTATGGAGAATGGGAAAGGGGAGATCAAAGGATAGGACAAGCCAAAATTTTCTATTCTGTTGTCAGTGGTTGAAGGTGTTGCCCAAAGAGATAATGGGCTTATTCTGTTCTCTAAATTTAGCATCTCAAAACCACACCAACACCTGACATACATCTCCAGCAGTGAGATCCAACATGCCCTCATTTCTGCCCTAGATGTCTCTCCCAAGGCCTCACTACTACTGCTTCTGGACTACTTCTGATCCCTACAGCATTCACTCTGTTCCCTTCCTTTGTTCCACATTTACTGTTTTGCCCCTCCTCTGCAGGACTGCCTGAGAGCTCTGGCCACCCTCAGGACCCCTTGCCTCAGAGTAACCTCCATGAAGAGTGCTGCCATCTAGCTTCTTGAGCCCAGTGCCAAAAGAGGACCCAATATCCTCAGGTGAAACTAAGGCTATACCAGAATGGGAACAGAAAGTATTTCAAGTCTAGGATGCTGGCAAAAGGTATTCAGATGATGGGGCTGCTATCAGACCACCCTTGAGGTTTGTGTTAGTGAGCCAGCCCATTGTTGGAACAAAATACTTAAGACAGAAAAGGCTTATTTTGGCTCATGGTTTCCGAGGTTCTAGTCCATTGTCTGCTGGCTCCAAGGCAGAAACATCATTGCAGAAGGGCACAGAAGAGAAAAACTGCTAAACTTATGGCATCCAGGAAGCAGAATGAGCAAGGAAAAGAGAGAGGTGCCTGGGCAAGAGGAAAGACACACTCATCGAAGGTATGCCCCCAGTGATCAACTTCTAACCAAGCCCTGTTTCCTAAGACTTATGAACTCATCAATGTGCCCCACGTTCTAATCACCTTTCAAAAGCTCCATCTCAGAACATGTAAACCTTGGGGAGTGGCGTTTCTTATGCAAATCACAAGAGTATTGGGAGAGCTATTAAATACTGGGTGCTGCTGACCATAGTGCACTATAGGAACTGGGTGCTGTGGGATCCATTTTCAAAAAGTATTAGGAATTTCAAGCTGCAGGACCTTGAGTGACTGCACAGGTTGCACAACTTCAAAGATAGATCTGAAGACACAAACTGGGAACTGGAGGAAAGATGTGCTGTAGGAGCCAGATGCTGGAGAAGCCATTTATATAGCAGGAGTCAGCCAAGAGAAGCAGACGAGAACTAGGCTAGAAACCTTCCTCTTTCAGTGTCTTTGCATTGCCCTCAATGGACATAGTTTACTGTGATCCAAGCAAGAAAAGGAAAATATTTTTTGAGATCAATAATCATGAGTTAATTTGGAACTAATGGGACAATAAATTGACAACTGGCAGAAAGAGGAAAGGTCAATTGCACAGGAATGGGGTAAAATCAGTGGCCCAGATAGAACTCAACCCCACAAATTTAACCCATAAACATTTATTTCCCTAATTTTTGGCTAAGAAAAAAATGCCATTTTAAAACATTAGTTAGTTCACATCACTTTCCATTGAGGAGTCAGATACTACTCAGGCTCTATCACACAATTTTCTGACCAAAACAAATATAGCCTGACGCCCAACTGTTTAACTCTTCTATTGGTCTTCTAAGCATACGTTGACTATGAAGCCTTGTCAATTTAATATTCTGATTTTTCTTCCATCAGTGAATTTCTATCTAACAATTTTCTTTTCTTTGTCTTCTCAAAAGAGAAAAAATTGAGTCATATATTCTGTGGTTGCTACTTGACTCAAAACCTTTCACTAAAACAGAGGATTAAGATGCATTTGACAGACAAACCCATTAGGTCTTTTTCCTGCTCTGGGCAGATTCTTGGCTTCTGGCTCTGTTACCTGTTTGGCAAGTGATTGAAACTGATTGATGGATGTGGCAATGAAAACCCCCGTGCATTAAACCCAGAATTGTGTGGTTTTACAAATGCAACTAAGAGAAGGGATTCACCACAGGCTGACTGTGATTGCACAAAAGGATGCTGCTCAAAATGCTAGTGCATGGCTCCTTGCCTCATGGTGCTTGTAATGTACAGCCTGAGAACAGGCTGGCAGCAAAGGTTCCGGTGCCCTGCTCAGGACTTAAGCTTCCCAAAGCATGGTGGGGCAGGGTTGACTCAGCCCCTACCCAGGAAACCTTGCTCATGCTGCATCAAACAGAATGATGGTGAGGGATCCGGGATACCAGGGAGACAGAGTGACTTCTAGACTCTTTCTCCTAGTCGTTTTCCACCCTGAGAGCTGTGCATAGGGATCCCCTGTACATGTTCCCTCCCTTCTGTTTCTCTGCTTATACTTTGCAGTGTAGGCTATGAACTCTATGAAGACAGAAGGTCTGTTCCTATTTTGCTTCCTTGGAATAATCCCACCTACTGGAATAGTACTGTCAGATGGTGACACACAAACCACTTTTTAAACACTGAGTCTTAGAATGGGACCTTCATGGGGACAGAGATTTCAATCTGTTTTATTTGCTTCTGTGATATGCAATAAACTTTAGTGATCACCTTCTTTTCTCTTAAGAACACTCTTTTTTGGTAGTGACAGTATATGATAGTCTGCCCATCCCCCCCCCCCTTTTTACTCCCTTTGGATCTATACTGATGCCTCCAACTTGTGAATATATGTGTGCTAAACTCATGAGACTATTCCATTTTAAAAAAAAATTTTAAAAAAGCTGTTTAGTTGAATAGTAACCTATTGAAGTCCTCCCCTGAGATAGTTCAACCTGTACCTGGGACACTGATTTAGTCCATTCTAGTAGGAGAAGCCATTAATACATAAACTCAGAACTGTGTCTGTAATTATGTTGTCTCATGTGAAAGAAATAGTTCCATTTGGATTAAGAGAAAATAAAATTTATACAAGATATGTAGGATTTCTTTTAAAAGCTGGACAAAGAACATCATCAGTCACCAACATTGTGGTAGACACTCTGAGTACATCAGAGCCAACAACATTCAGGCAACACTGAAAGAGCTATTATCTAATTATTTGATTTGGTGATTCTCTGTAGCCCATAACTGCATATGCAAAGGCTTTCTGGTTTCATTTATATGCCCAGTAAGTCATACAAGTCACTAGGATAAGGGTAATTTTCTTTTTTAAAATTATGAATATTAATGATAGATACCACATAGCCAGGCAGGGGCATTAAGAAGTGTGTGTGGGTGTGTGTGGGGGGGGGGGGGTAATTCTTTATATTCATTCTCACTAGTTTATTTCAACTCATGAATACCTAGAGGAGGTTTGTGGTCTTTTCAAATCAATGAAATGATTTTCAAGTGAGAAGGGTAATTTAAATTTACTGTCCATATATCCATGTCATTTCTACCCTTCCTCTAAGCCTGATATATATGATTGTTTAGGAACACTTCAAGTTCAAAGCCAGTGTCTACATGATGAATA